AATAAATACCAAATAAATATTTAACAGGTATTTTAAAATGCAAACTCAATTTTATTTTCAATAATAATATTTTTATACGTATTTTCAACATTATGTTTTCAAAAATAATCTAGCCTTTTAAAATAATTATAGTTAAATACGACTTTAGCTATTTCAATTATATTTAACTTAATTATATCTTATTTTACCTTATTATATTATAAAAGTTATTAAAATTTTCATTAAATCATGAATAAATTCCCAATAAGCCATTTAAAATCTCTCTAAAATCTTATTTCTTCCATCTTAAAATAACTGTAATTTTTTCATTTTAAATTTGTCTCAAATTAAATGTCGGTTTTTTTTTTAATTTTTAAGTTAGATAAATATTTTTTTTCCAATTTTAACTATATTATTATCTATTCACTTTAATTATTTATCCAATCACAAAAAAGCTCTCTTTATTTTTTATTTATTTTTTAAAAATATTATAACTAAATACAAATATTGTTTCAAGATCCTTAATTTAAGGAAAAAGTAAAAAATAAAAGTTTTCTTGAGATAGATGGAGTAAATAAATACCCAATGGACCTCTAAAAGAAAATTCATTTACAAAGTTGAAGCTCAATTAAATTAAATTAATACCCTTTCAAATTTTTTAGTGAGTTTGATGCATATAATTCCTTATTAAATTAATTCTCTCTATAATAATAGTTAATAATAATCTAACTTCTTATTAATTTTTCTCAAATTACATTTCAATTACTATATAATAATCTAACTACTACACCTAAATATTATTAGAATTGAAAATAACTTATCCAAATATATAATCCAACATCTATTTCAATTATATAATGTGTTTAATGTAGATACACATTATTCAAAGTGGCACTTTTCAAAATGATTCTTATTTACTCCATTATTCTGGGATTAATGGATTAATGATTAAGATGTAACAAGATATTAATACAAAGAGAGAAAGTGAGGGCGAATATAGGTAAATAGATAATATTATGATAAAATATGTAAGGATAACCTAAGATATGAGGTTGTAAGAAAAATTAAAGAAAATGTACCAAGAGAATAATGCTAATGGGTTATATATATTTAATGTTTTGACTTAAAATCTCCTAACATGGATATTTAGGATACATGAGACAAATTGAGGTTAAAAAGAGATGAAACTAGTATTTATTCACATTATCTCTTAAAATTTAGGAGTAAAATAACTTTCAAATTACGTTGTTTTAATAAAATATCACTAGAAAAGATTAAAAACAATTTAATTCGTGTTATTAAAATAATATATTTAAGTTTTTTTAATAAAAATTTATTAAATTAACGTAATTTTAAAATAATTTTTTTATTAATTTTTAAAAAGTAAAAGAGATACAACACGTTTCCCAAAAAAGATATATAATACTAATGGTAAAAATAATTATCAGTAAAATCTCTAAAAAATTATATAACAACACCCAAAAAAATATTAAAATAACTTAATTTTAAACTAAGGATAAAATTGTTTTCACGTTCTTCCATTTTTTATTTATTTATATGATATAGTTTTATAGTATTTTTTCTCTTAACCTTTTAAGGTTCTAATTGATAAAAACTATTATCAATAGAAATAACTATAGATTTAAAAATTAAATAAAAAGTTAATGAAGATTTAATATAAAGCTAGTTACCACCAAATTCAATCAATTTGCACGAACTACTGCACAAACCGTTGACTAATGGAAAGATCAACAGGAAGATGGATAAAGATAGGGACAATGTCTCATTTCCTTGTATATATTTTCTCTTTTTTTTTATCAGCTTATAATTTGAGGAAGGGATATTTTTTTGAAAGCGTTGGTAAAAGTTGAAATTTCGACCAACAAATTTAAACGCTTTAGAGTTTGCGAGCGGATCACGAAAACCGAAGATCCAATTCGTCTCATTTCCTTGTACAAATAACTTTTGATAACAAAATGACATAGTTCTAGTGACAATGCCTAGCTGCCTACAAACAAAACTTTTTCTTCTTGAAACGAAGACCTAACCAATTACGAAAATGCAATTAAAAACACAAGATACAAAGCTTGAAATATTACAAATAGTCAAAATCAATCTCCAATAAACTTCTGTTTCTTTGTTGTGTTCATGTATGGTCGAATTACCCACTCAATCCGGGCTTCATTTTGATCCATCGTTCCTAGTTTTATCTGCAATTAATAATAATGCGAAAAAGGACAACAAATTGCTAAGAAGAGAGACCTATTTGCACATAAGTCTTATACACTATACTTATATAAAAAATCTCAACTATTCATTTCTTTACTTTCAATATTTAAGAATTATTATGACCTTTTAGCTGAAAAAATAATTATTTTTAATAAATGTAAATAAATCTCAACCACTGATAGTGAAGAGATAAATGGTTAAGATTTTATGTATGTGTGATGTGTAAAATTTGTGTATAAGTAAATCCCTACTCAATTAATAATTGTGCATAAACTGCGCCATATTAAGGATACTAGCATTGATTTAACCAAACAGAACTATAACTTCAGGCTGACATGAGTGCGTAACAAGAACTATATCAACTTAGGTTGCAAGAAGTTTTCTACTCACCAAAATTAAGCACATTTGTTCTCAAGAGTAACACCATAAAATTCAACTTACATTTAAGAATAAAGTGAATTGGGACAGAAACTCACCTGATAAAGGCGCAACTCAAACCTAGGACCAATCTCCTTCAGTTCCACAGATTTAGGACCACCAGGCTTCTCATAGATATGATGCCTGTGGGTTTGAGAGTTACCAAAAGTCAACAAACAGTTTTGCACTTTTTCAAATAAACAGCTTCTCTCATCAAAGGGAAGTAACAACTTTTGATTTTATCACAAATGATATTAACTAAAAGCCAAAACTTAAAACAATGAGAGCACATTTATTGACACAGGTAGTAACCAATCATACTGCA